CAGACCGGACGTCCGGTAGCCATCCTAGTCACCTGATTGACCGGAACTTCCGGTGCCATTGTTGAATAGTTTCACCGATTGACGCAATAGCAGCCTTGCCTTTTATTGGGGAAATGGCGGCTATTAGTGAACTAAATTAAGTTTAAACGGGTGACAATTGAGTGCTCAATTCACTACAGTACAACAGAAATGAGACGAAATGACAAAGAAATGTACTACAGTGGTGGGTTATTAATGAGTGTACTGGTTTTTGTATATCTTAAACGATCTCACACTAAAAATTGAATGATTAAGAATTCACATGTAACATTATATTAAGACTTGGATATGACTGTATTTTACCTAACATAATTCGAATTCAAATATATTTATTATGGAAATTACAACAGCTTGGCCTCGCCAAGTTTAAAAAAACTTGTCGGCTAGGTCAAAGGCTGGCACTTTAACTTAAAACAAAGTAGTTGGCAGCACACTAAAAAATCTAAACTGTAATAACATAAGTAATTGCTTTACAATCTACGGGATATTTGGATTGCTCATATTTGTTCCTCTTTGTTTTTCATGGTTCGTAGACCATGTTTGAACTGTTTGTTTGCACAGCAGACTGGCAGTGCCGGCCGAGCTCAGTTGATTGAAAAAAGGAAAACCTAAAGCTGGGAACCTAAAGCTGGAAAACCTGATGGGGAAAATGTTTATTAAATCATAGCAGTTTGACTGATTCGTCAATTATGCACGACAACACAATCAGTGGAAGTCTATTTTCTAGTAGATAAATCATAAAATAAAAATAATGAACATCCATAACACATCAACTAACTTATTTAAAAATGCTTGCCAACCCTGGTGTATTTATTGTTTAAATGAAATTTTAGCTTTGTACCAAGCAAAAGCAGTAGTGCCCAAAAAAACCTACACATATTTTAAACGGTTTCAAAATTAACTTTTAAATTATGGAACTATTTCCGTACTAAAATTAAATAGACAACGATGAAGCAATCGCATATATTATATTTAACGTCTTAAAACAGTCGAGAGAGTGTTCAACGTTAAAAAAACGAGATGATAACTAATGGGGTGAAAACTCTTTCTCTTCAAGAGGTGCTCGAGAGCCTCTCCAGAAACTGCAGCGTCTTGACGGGAATGTTTAAACTATCCTCACCAGACATAAGTGTTGGTTTAGTTAATGATATAGTACCAGGGGGCCGAGCATTGCTAGAGGTGTTTTGATTTGTTCAAGAGTTAAAACAATTAATCCTACAAATATTTTCAGTTTTGCTGCGATTAAATAAGTTGCAAATTGAATATTACAACAGAAGAAATTTGAGGATACTCCAAAAAAGAGAGGAGAAAATTAGTCGCCATTAACAAACAGTTGATGCACTTTAAATAGTATGCACATAGCAAAAGATATTATAATAAGTTTACTTGCATTATCCTCAACGGAACAGTTGCATTTTCTCGGCTGTTGTAAAAGTGTAATGCATGTCTAGCAGAGCCCATCAAAAAGCAATGAAGCGCTCAGTACGTGAGAAAGATAATAACACGCGGATTACTTCAAGGATAAAGAAAGTAGTTAGGAAATTGTATAAATGCAATAACGTCTGATGGGTTCAACAGTGCATAACGAAAACCAGCATGAGGTATATACAGTAACGCGCTACAGTTAACTGATAAATTACGGAAATGTATTTGATTCATTTGGAGATTATTTCACATATTCAGGAAGACAAATACTAAACAAAGTAGTATAATTTTTTCATACCACTGTTGACAATACAAGGAAAAACTCCCATTGCAGTGAATCTGCAGACGAAAAAAAATTCTAGTTGTTTCATTAGGTTTAGGTTTTAAAAGTTTCATAAAATAATAGTAACTTAAGTTCTGTAAACTTCCATGACCAATATACTGTAAATAGTTTTGAGAGTCAATGATTCGTTTTAGATTTTCTTCAACTAAAACGAGGAACAAAAACTGTTTTAGCGAATTTCCTATATAGGGAATAAGCTTACCGTAGTACTCATGGTGAGACCTGGACCCGGGACCGATTTAATTTTTCGTTTCGAGATCCCTAGAGACCAAACACCATCCGTACAAATTTGCTACGTTACCTTCGTAATATTTTTAATTTTAATATTTTCGACTTTATATTTAAATACCACGTTTTATCCTAAATTTAAAACATCCCCTATCCTTTAACTGAAGTGAAGGGATCTGTGTAGGAAGGAGTCAACATCCAATAACATCCCAGGATCGGAAGGAAGGATAGCTCGGGGAAATTAAAACTCAATCGCAGAATTGATCCGAGGCAGAGACGACGGTATCGCCGATCGCCGTTGATTCCATTACAGTCAGCCTCTAGCATGGCTGGGGGCTTACTGATTGTACGGTATATCATTTGTAGGCGATTTTTCATTGGTAACGAGTTCGACAAATAAACTTAAGTCACACTACTATGTCCACGTTGCAAAACTGTATCTATCCTAGTCATGGCTGAAATTAGCATGCTTGACCAATTTAGTGACAGTGGCAGAGGTTAATGTTGAGTCATAATCGGTTAGGATTTAGCCCCAAAGTTACCAGCATTAATAGTTATTAAATGTAAATTCGATCTAGGGTCAAGCTAGTCTTTTAAGATAGTCTTTTAAGCTAGTCAGTTGAGATATTGGACGATTTCAAGGTAAATTTATATGAAAGTAGAGTATTGGTTGGTACAAGAATTTTCCAAGTATTTGCATTTACAAAAATGTTAAAAGTCTTGTTAATCTTTCCTGGACTACCCTAACCAAACGAAAATATACCTGTTTGACTTTGATTGTCTTTCAGTTGCTACAGGTTGTCAGAGATTTCTTTAAATTAGGAATATATTTGTAACAAACGTCATTGGGAATCATCAAACACAGAAACAACTCAAAGTTATAAACATTCTCGAAGGAAGAAAAGTTAATACTTGGTTAGTATCAGTTTAGGGAAAATCTTAGTGTATGTCCACACATTTGATTGAGAATTGTGTAATCTAGTTAAATGGAGCCGTAAAAAATTGGCAAGTTTTTTTAAAAATAAATGTTGAATGAAATGCTATAATATTTTTAATTCCAAAATACAAATTTCGACTAAAATTTCTTAAATAGTCTGACCAACCTCACATAATTTGACATCCTCATTTAATTGTTTCGATACACTGCATAGTATAAGCTGTTGATTGGTTCAAGATGCATTTAGTCAACAAAACCCTAGTGAACTACACGTGCAAGTTAAGTGAATACAGTTGTGACTTTCGCAGAGTCATGTGAAATGATGACATCATCGGTCGCCGTGGGCAGCAAAGGTCAGATTGTTTAACACAGATTCTTCTTTGTCACTTATCTTTGATATGACCTGTCCCTCACTGCGTATAATAAACAGTAAAGCGGTCATTGTATTGACAAATTGATAAATACCCTTTTCAGGTTGATTTTGTAACTGGCCAAAGAAATAGCGTGGAAGTTAAATTTACGATTAAATTGTCTTAAAAAGCAGGTGTTAATCTTATTGGTAACTATATACCAATAGCACTGTATGGTAACTATATACCAATAGCACTGTAAGTGAAAAAGAAAAAAAAATGATAATTAAAGAAAAACAATATAATTTTAGCCAATAGAACGTCAATAAACACTATAAAATACGACAAACAGTCCAAAATAGTACAGTAATGGATTTTCAGAGTCTAAGCGTAATTTCCCCCAATTATTCAGTACATTTCACAAAAAACTATGTACCTTAACTTAGTTCAACTATTTGGTGTGTAAAGAAAATTGTATGCCTATAAAAGTAAACTGGAGAATAAAAACAAGAAACTTGTAGGACACATTTAGCTATGTACTGCCACACTCAGGTGCAGCTTTTTACTGCTTGGGTTTTGCCAAGCGGGGCATGAATTATTGAGCTCATTCGAGGAAAACCTTAGGGGGAACTCAGGAAATGTATACACTTGCATGCAAACCAAAAACTTGACCGTTGAGTAGCACACCCACACTTATAATCAAACATCGATGATTGAATGTTAATGGAAGTTAAGTTCCTTGATAGGTATTTAATCTCATTATTGCCAGGCGGTAGTAGAATTCCATTTAGTGTACGGTAAATTGTTCGATTATAGAAATGTCTAAACAGTCTTGTAATGGTTCCTGCGATGTCCATACGTCATTAGACTATTGTGCGAAGCCCATAGAGTGACGGTTATTGAAAGCTCTATAGAGGTTTTGACAAAAACAATAATTTACATAAGTGAGAGAGCCGAGACTGCACTTTCAGATTTGCTCAAGGTTTGATGGTGGTCACATTGCGGGTGGTGCGGTTACAGTTTACAGCGCATTGTTTGGTTATCTGATTTTAGAACTTTCTCTCTGACTGCCCACCCTTAGGCTGTTACTGTAGTACAGGATCCATAGCACAATATCTCATTATGTAAAGAGAAAGATGGCACACATGCCCCAAGCTTGGAATACAATGAAACAGTGAACGTAGTGTTTATATTGCAGACGTTTGGTAGACATGGGTTTCCGTGTATCAGAAAAATGTTGGCAAAACGTGTAAATTAAGAAATAATAATGGTAGATTACGGTGGTAAATTGTAAAAAAAAAACATATAGAAGCAATCACCATCAGACAATGTCGAGGTGTTTGAAAAGATTCAATTTTTCACAAAAAGTCTCCACATAAAAAGCATACATGGTTTTCACGGCTCCATAGCACCATGTGTAGTGAAATCGCTTAGTTTATGTTTTAAACATGACAGATTATTCATTGATGCAATATAAATAATGTGACAGTGCAAAAAAATGAGTTGCTCTGTCTGACCCTAGTCAATGGAGTGATTGGAGGGGCTGGGCGTTTTTGGGGAGTGAAAAAAAGTTGAAGCATCTCTGATCTGGAACACAGTCTAGGTACTTCAGGTTGAAGTACTTAACAGTCTCGGAGTACAAGAATGGAATTCATAGTCCCTAAATCAACCAACGTACCTGGTTTGTCTGTGGTAGGGGGCGGCATGGTCGGCGACGGGACTGGGTGACGTCATGCTAAGGACGAAGGGAGCATCCAGGTCGTCGGAGAACTCTGGCTCAGGAGAACTCACAACCAGAGGCTTCTCCTGTTCGAAGAACGTTACTCGTACTTTGGACGGGTGTCTGACTTCAGACCTGCAAACAGAAGTCAAGTTGAGGTGCTATGAACACACACAAAAACACTAGAAGCATAGAATAACTGGCGAGACCTAGAATTAGATGTGCTAAAGTTCCATGGTCAACCCTCTGCCTTGCTATAGATGACCATCTTCTTCTCACTATCGTGGTTTTCGGGATACGTGTCGAATTGGAAGAAACAGCAGCTCCGAACTGCTTCGAAGATGGCCATCTGTAGCAAGACCGAAAGTTGCCTTTGAAATGGTATAGGTTTACCACCTAAGCCCATGTATATACGATAGAAAAACCTTTCGTTCTGAAGGTTTCAGGTTCAATCCCTGTCAAAGAAGCAATTTGTCATTCCTTTAAGTTAGTTGACCAGGCAACGACTTTAGATACTGTGTAGCCAAAATCATAATTTGGACTGATAGAAAAAACACTCAATATACAAATGTTGTGTTTTACTTCAATAAACTACCACAACAAAAAACACACTCGACATTTATTGACAAACACATAAAAATAGGCCTTGGATAAAATATACTTTGTGTGAAGAAAAATACAAAAAAATCATGAAGTCTATAAAATAAATCTCGAAAATAAACACTTTGAAACAAAAGGAGAAATCAGTGCAAAATGATGTAGACGTTTGGACATATGCCACTTTCAACCCTCAATCCCCCTTATCAGCTTAGCCACATCCACTACCCCCCCCCCTTCCTCCCACCAATAATCCACAAATACATTCTGACGTTGTAGTGGAAATATCAGTCGGATTGGTAACGACAACTTGTTGATTTCAATCACATTTCACGTCCAACAAATTATGTCCATAACAATCCCTACATTTGTATCCCACCTCTTGCACTTCTTAGAAAAAACTGTGACGTGGTAGTAAATTTACAATATGTAGCTGACAATATTGCATTCAATATGTATTAAAGTTATTCTTGTTGCAACTTATCTCTGTCACACAGTTGAAATGCAATGATTTACGAGAATATGTCTTCTGTCAACATATGATATGGTTTGAAAATCGTCATTGTTAAAAGTCGTAATAGGCCTATTATCAAATGCCGTATATTATCAAAGGCAAACCCGTGTACAATCTCTCATCTCTTATTGAATTAGCTATACAGTCTTTGTTTATTTATTTTGTGTTGTGTTTATCTCTGCCAATCTTTTTACTTATTTTGTCTAGGTTATATCCAAAACTCTAGTCTTGATGTTGTCAAACGTTGACTTTTTATTAGCTATCATTTGAGTCGTCAGTTTTGGATTTTGTCAAAGTGATGTGTGTGTTGTAGGAACAGTGGACACCGTCTGATACTAAGCACTTCATTGTATTGATTGTCTGACAATGCCTCAGTACTGTACAGTCCAGTCCCATCACGTCCCAACACACCCTGACATGTCCAACTGTCCAGTGTTATATTAGCCATCACATGAACAATGCCACTGCACCATCATTCTTGATGACTACAACATTTGAACGATTCAATATAGTATTTTTCCCCTGTGTTTAATAAGTTTTACTGAATTGAGTTAAGACTTTATGGATGCAAAATTTTAAAAGTACAATCAAGAATACAGTGATATGAATTTGTTTGAAATTTAAAGAAATTGACTTGCGTTAGACTTTGTGTTTTCATAGTATGGTCAATTAGTTGTGGAAAATCTAATAACAATGTTATATTCAGGGTTTGCTTAAAAGATTACAAGTTAGTGATAAAGTTAATGAATATCACATAAAAAATAGATAATTTATTTTCAATGTAACTCAGAGCAATGAAAAATTGTAAATTAATTCAAATTAATGTTTTCACTCATAAAATTCATGTTCATTATTGAGCCCTTTTACATACACGAGCACAACAAACTCGTATAACCCTTCAACGAAGTTTGAGGATATGTCTCAGTTCTAGGGATAGTCCAACTAGTAATGTTACACTTTTATTTGTTCATAGCTAATTTATTCATATGACAGGATAGATTAGGTTAGATTTGGTTAGGGTATGTTAATAATTATGTATTGTAGACTTTGGAACATGTGTCACTCTTTCTCACGGACTTTATTTAACACTGCACGGAGTTGGTCATGATCCACCAGGGACCCGATGTGACCACCGCGCGGAGTTGGGATATATCTTGGTTCTAGCTGAGCAAGCATAACCTAACCCTAAACAGGATTTGTATAAATGCCATTTCAACCTCCAAACATGTACAACAGTTCTAATCGAAAACAGAAAACGTCATTATGTATGTTCATTAATATTATTAATTTTTACCATACGACCATAATATTGTTCGTCCTAATTCTAACAACAGTCGTTCACAGCTAACCACTTTAGCCGGGTTTACACTATGTAGCAAAAACTGCTATATAACTTTTGCTATATAACATTGTTATATAACTTTTGCTATATAACATTGCTATATAACTTTTACTATACAAAAAAGCTACATACAATTTTGTGATTCCTGTGCCCGTGCTATAAGTTATATGTAGCACAACCTCATTTACATTCTGTATCGAAAATATCGAGCCGAAGAGACATTGTTCGAGGCAGCTATCACGGTGATCGGAAGTCAGAAACGGAAGCGATCCATAATTAAAACGCGAAATAAGACGATGGTAGATTCAAAAATGTTTTACGTATGACCACAACGCCGGTTGTCCACGGAACAGTTCAATTAAAGTTTATAATAGCATCCCGATCCCACGCACTGTCGCTTTATAGTCCTTCCATTGCAAACAAAGATCCTCGAGCAAAAACGTCCGTACACATGAGGCTAACACTGTGAACTTTTGTGAACTGTTGACACTTAATGCTACATATAGCAGATGCTAGACGAAAAATATTTGTATAACATTACTACATATAGCAATGTTAGATATAGCATGCATTTCTTTTGATCTTTACCGACTCCCGATGGATAGCACAATTTTTGCTATATATAGCAGAATCTGCTACATATAGCAGTGTTATATAGCACTTTTGAAAAGTGACTTTTTCTACTTCTAGCAAATGTTATATAACATTGCTAGATGTTACACAAATCTGCTATATAGCAGGTTTTGCTTTACACAGCGCATTGCTCCGACGTGTTAACTGGCATAAACAGACGTGCTGTCGTCAACCAACAACAAGGATTTACAGGAGAGTGGTGACTAAGGTCTGTATGGATCTAGGTGTTGACATTACAAACAGTGTGGTGTATCGGCTATGGGACACGTTCACGGGTGCGGCGTGTATAATGTATGCTGATGGTAAACATGCCATGACAATTTAACACAAACATGGTTTTAAAAGCTCTACCATAGTAAATATACGACGTAGGTAATTTTTATAAATGTAGTTTTGGGATTTGGATCAACATGTTCGAGCGGATGTACAACATTTGTTCAACAACATACAAAATAGCTACTTGCTGGTTATTTTGTGAGATATTTTCCTCAAATCTAGTTTATAATAGATTTAAAAACACATGTCTGTTCTCGTAGTAAACACATTGAAGAATGAATGCACATATTGTACAACGCGTTAAATATCTAATCTATATACAGGGTGCTCAACTCAAGGTGGCCACCATTGGGATATCGGAAACGGTAAGAATTAGAGCACACTTTAAATGGGGGACATTCCTTTATTTTTTGTGGAAGTTAAAAATATGATTTTATTTTTTCAAAATTCAGCCGCCATTTTCCAAAATGGCGGCCAACTTTGAAATTTCTTATGGAACACCCTATATTTTATCAATTTAACAACTTTTTTATCCTTGACATTTGTTCGATAAATCAACTCGTTTAGGAGTTACAGCCTATGGAAAATGTCTTCCGGTGTACATTTTACATCATGTAGCTCCTAAACAAGTAGGTTTATAGCGAAAATACGTAGAGTAAATAAGTCAAATAAGTCTTAAAATTGCATCCACATTCCAAAAAGACCATAAAATACACAGTTTTCCACTTTTCAAGTTTGCCGCCATTTTTGAAATAATAGGATTAATATTTTTAACGAATTTTATGGTCTTTTTGGAATGTGGATGCAACTGCCCAATTACCCAATGCATGCATAGTTCACAAATTAGGATAAAACAATTTCATATCGCACTTATTTGTTATGCTGTTGTATGAGGTTACTTAAAGCTACTGTGCGGCAGTTTTGACCTTCATTTTCCACAGCCAGCGGAAGATTGACGCTAGTTATTTTGCAATCCAGTGATTTGACAAACAATGGTTGATAGAAAACACGGAGTGCGGTAACTCGTCAGGATGCGGTTTGCGGTGAATTATTTATGAGTCTAGAGTTGTTAATATACAGGAAACATCGAGGGAAATGTAAAGGATGGAACGAACAAACAATAATGTTTGCTATGATGATGAATAACTCCATTTAGTACAAACGTTTCTTTTAAAGAACAAAACTTTAATACAACAAAATTATGACTACACAGACTCAAAAGAACATTCAGAAATATTAAAAAAAAAATCAATAAAGAAAATCTACGCCTACAGTTCTTCAAACTATTTAACAAAATAAGGCACGACACAACAGAAATTATCAAACGTCTATGAAAAGCAAATAAATTTAAGAAAATAAATTCCTTTTGTATCGAACTCCTTCAAATATTTTTGAAATTCATCAAACCTGAAATTATTATCAAAACTCTATTACCTTAAATGATTAACAATCTCATGTTTACACAAAATAATTATGCTATGCTAAGCCTAAGATTAAGATTAAGAAATTCCTTATGTAACAAGAAAGAAAACTACTTTGTCTTGAAACGGAATGACTTGGCGCAACAACGTCTGCAATACAATTAAAGGACCAAAATAAAGACGTTTATACTGCACACTCCTTTATTCTGTATGTTTTTGAAATTGGGTACCTTTTTTGTCCTAGGACGCTAGGCACGAGCCCGGAATTGTTTTTTCACATTACTTTAGGCTAGACCTAGTGGTTGCGGCATTATCACTTAGATAAAATCCATTGGTGATTTGGCGGGATTTG